AACTTGTCCAATTTAAATCCAAACGAATCCAAATTAAGTATAGTACACCTTCGTCACCCCACCTATCATTTACCTTATATCAACATCCAATTGTATCTATAAGATTTTTTTTTTTACAGCCGTTAACATGAAGATCGTCAATCAATCTGCGCAGGCCATTTCTATACAACGTTTGTGGGAGAACGGTATAAGAGATGTTGCTGAAATTCAGCGTAGAACAGACCTTCCAAGGTCCACTATTTATTATAATATTAAAAAACTAAAAAAAAACCTGATTTACGATTCACAAGAAACGTTCTGGCCGTCCGAAAAAAATCCCTCCAGAGGTATCAAATGCATTAGGGCAAATAGTTAGACGAAACCTGACGATATCATCAAGAACTTTAGCAAATAAAATAAGAGAGAAAGAAGTACATGTCTCACATGTAACTATTCTAAATCATTTACATAATCATGGATTTAAAAAAAATCTTCCTTTAGCTACCCTAATGCTCACTAGAGCATACAAGAAGAAGCGAGTTGAGTGGGCCCGAAACCATATTAGTGACAACTGGAATCGCACTCTTTTTATGGATGAAACATCTTTTTGGTTATTTCGTAACACTGTAGAGCGCTGGTATAAGGGTGTCAGGCCAGTTCGCCGAATTCCTAAAGATCGTACAAAAATCAACGCTTGGGGTGGGATCTGCATTAAAGGTAAAACCAGTCTTTTCACTTTCCGTAATAATATGACTGGCGCCAGCTATGTTGATATTATCAGAGAACATCTTCCTGAGGTTAATGAGTTGCTTGGTAACCGTTGGAGGCTCCAGCAAGACAACGATCCCAAGCACACGAGTAAAATAGCCAAAGAATTTCTATAAGCGAACGTTCCTACTACAATGGACTGGCCTTCAAACAATCCAGATATAAACCCAATTGAAAACCTGTGATCCATCATCAAGAGAAGTATAGAAATACGGCAACCTAAAAATATTGAAGAATTGGATCGATTTATGGTCGAGAAGTGGGAAAATGTTTCAAAAGAGACTATAGTAAATTTAATCAAGTCAATGAAGGAGCGTTGTCAGCTTGTAATTGATAATAAGGGGGATCGAATTTCGTATTAAATTTTTTTATTAAAATCATGTCATTTTAAGCTTCCGAATAAACTATAAATCACGTGATACGATTCATTGGTTGCGAACTTATGAGTAAAAACATGTGTCCAAAGACTTTCTTACCACACTGTAAGTCTCCATAAACGAGCCTCTCTTCGGGCATGTCAATTTCTTGTAGGTCCAGGTTCCTTTTGATTGAATGTCTTGACCCATACCACATATTACCACGTGCTTTTTTTTTCGAGTGACCTAAATTAGCTAGAACATGCGACTAAAATATAACCTTTTCAAACCAGAATTTCTGTTAACCCTGAATCTCTAAATGATATCATATATTCCAGGCCGAATGCATCTAAGCATTACTTTAACCTATTAGCACGAATTAAATAAAAAAGTAAGCAACTGACATATTTCCTAACATTTTAACAAGTAAATTGTAAGTGCAATGGAATGGAATTAAATGCGACCGCTTACTTCAAAAACCCGCACTTTATAGAAGTGACCGATTTTCCCATATGCACTAATATAACCGTAAGAGATTAGAATTATACTGTAACAAGAAACCATTGACGCCTAATTCTATGTTAGCATAATTTACAAGGAAATAATAGTTACATAGATATTTATATAAAATCGTCCATTCCATTTCATCACTTTCAGTTACTGACGGAACATTTATGCTTAACTCTGCTTCATGTCTGACTAAATATAGTTATTATAAAAAGAATTTTTTCCTTTTAGATATTAACGTATATTGGATTAATCACTACACTTAAACTATTCTAAAATTTCTAATAATACTAGAATTTTTTTACCCGTTATATGCTCTGGAACAGTTGCAAAAAAACTCTATGTTCATCCAAAGCCCTTTTGTGCTTCTAAGATTCTACTTGCAGGGTATTGATTTTTGCTTATTATTTCCAGACATAGTCGTTCTGAAGACCAATAAAAATCAATTTAAGCACCATTAGGAAGGATTAAAAGATAATTTGATGCTTAGAATTCGACATTCTATCATAATCGAAAATAGACGAGATTGGTTGGTAACAAATTATAGGCCTATCAAACGAAATGTCATTAAAAACCGACTTGCAATAATAAATACGCTAAAGAAATTTTTCATTAAGCCTGTCGAAAATTAAGATTAATGTGCTTAGGATAACAATTCTACGACCATTGGTTAAAAGAGTAATAAAATGGAAATTATACATTAGACACTTTATTTATTGAGGGAAAACTATTATGGAATCACTGCGCGCCTCAAAGATAAGCATAACGGAAAAATAGGAAGTGCAGTATGATGCATCCGAACTTTGGCGTGACGCTTAAGAATAGCTAGCATAAAACAGAAACACGAATTTATAGATTAACTTGTAAATACACTTGTAATCTTTAGCAGCGCAACTAATAAAGTATTGTTAGTTTGGGTGCCAGTCAAGTCGTAAACACGCGTCAGGTACTTTTGAGATGCTAAAGTATCGAATATGTGACAAGAAGCTGTGAGATCAGCGAAAACTATTAATAATAATAAAATTGATCTTATTCCTTTATACTATTTCGATATTATGGTTTATCTTGAAATAGTTTATTTTGTTATGGGTAAATGCGGCGTAGGTATGCAACGCGACATCACGTTACGTCACCATGTTGCGAACTGTGGGAAATTATGGTGGGAAACTAGGTGGGAAAAACTGTAGGTGGTAATTAGTGATACTAATCAACTCGACTAATCACAGTTAATCACATGATAAAGTTTAAATACGATTAGTTGATATCAGTTGGTTGTATTATTGTTCTAAAAATATTTATATATGTATATTAAAAAATTAATTATTATTTAAGAGGGGAAAAATATTAAAATATGACATATTGCGCTTTAAAAATACTAAATGATTAACCATATCAGGATTCAAACGGTTTCTTTTTGCTGTTACATGATTTCCGGCATCTGAAAAAAGTCACTCACTAGGTACTGATGAAGCAGGAATTGCTAACTATTTTCTAGCAAGTTTTGCTAATATAGGAAACTTTTGTCTATTTATATTCCACCATTCTAAAGGATTGTTATTTTCAGTTTGAGGTAATTGTAATAAAGTAAGATAATTTTTGAATTTGTTTTGTTCAAAATTTGTTTCTTTAAAGGATTGAAAAAATAATTGCATTTTTGAATTTTCGTTCTCAGATTCAACCAATATTGAAATAGAATAGGAATTTACAAGTTCTATATATTGTTTTCGAAGATTATTAATAATTTTGTATCGTAATTCCTATATATAAAAAAAAATTAATTAGTGAATTTAATTTATAATTTTAATAATTAAAAATATTTACTTACATCATTAATAAACAGTAATTTTTTAAAACATGGATCAAAAAAAGATCCATATAAACCAAAAATTGAAGGTGAGCCCCAACGTTCTTAAATATTATTATAAATAAGATCTTTAACTTGCTTTATTTTATTATTTTGAGTTGTATAGGAAATTAATCGTTACTTAAGTTCTTCAATTGTTGGAGTTATAATACCTAAAGTTGGATATTTTGAACCTCCCAATATTTCCGTTGCTTCATCAAATGGTCTTAAAATAATAATAAGTTCATTACATAGGTCAAACTCTTCTTCTGAAAGTATATGATTTTTTAATTTTTCTCCTTTTTTTCGAATATCCGTTGAAGCATTATTTAAAAGAGTACTACAAAGATGATTGATAGATGGCTGCAATAGCATTAAACGTTGAATAGCATAAAGAGTAGAATTCCAACGTGTCTTAACATCTTTTATTACATCCAATGGTTTTCTAATGTTTGGATTTAATTGTTTTTGTATTTCTCATAATTGGTGTCATTTTTTATCTCCACTTAAAATACTGATTAATTTTTTTGCTTTTGTGATAATATCATCCACTTGAAGTAAACTCAAATTAATACTGAGTTGTAATGTATGAGCCACACAAGAAATATTTGTAATTTTCATTCGTGATATTGCTGATTTTATATTACTTCCATTATCAGTAGTAATACTAATAATTTTTTCATGTAGTAAACCAAAATTCGTAAATTGTTGTTGAAGTTTTGTTATAATTTCTATTGCAGTATAAGCTTCTGGAAAATTTGTCATATCCAAAACAACTTCACACAATTCAAATTCAGGTGTAATCCAATGACCGGTAATTCTCAAATAAGTATCGTGTGTGTGAGATGTTCAAAGATCTAAGGTAAGTGCAATATAATTAATAGAATCCATTATTTTATTTTTGATAAGCCTTGATGTCCAATTATATGCATCGAAAATTAAAGTTTTTAGAATATTAATTCTAGGAACTTCGAATCTAAGATCAAAAAAATAACAAAATGATTGAAATTCTTTATAATTAATAATCGAAAGAGGCAATGTACAAGCAAGAATTAATTTTATAACTTGTTGGACTAAAAATTGTTGCTGGACTTAATTATGTTATTCAGTTAAATTTTTAACTTGAGTATTTTCAAGAATTTCTTTGGCTGTTTGTATATCCAAACTAGCTTTTGTTATTTTATGAGAATTTCGCAAATGTCCTATTATATTTGTTGTTGAACCAAACCAAGTGTAATCAGTTAAGCATCCATTAAATCGACATTTTGCACGTTTAACAGGAGGTCCCTCATCATTAAAAGTTAGGTAAATTTCAAAAAATTGTCGTGAAAAGCTTATGTTGAGGGTTCTTGATCGTTTTAAAGATGGATTAGCTTCTGATAACATGAATCATTAATTTCAAATGTATGTTGAATAAGCGATTTGATATTTACCTATTTATACAAATAACTGACAATAATCTTAACGATATTATTAATATATAATGTATGTAGGAGTTAACAATAACATTTTTTTTACAAAAAAAACTTCATTTAAAAATACATTATTAAATGAAAATTTGTCTGCAAGAGAAACATTTGTTGCAGTTTTTATATTTCCAACTAACTAAATTAATTGATTTAAAATTGATTAACCAATAACTAATCAACTAAACAGTTATTTGATTGTCAGTTAATATCACTAGTGATAATTTATAGAATAGCGTAGAATAGTAAACAAATATAAACATGTAAATAATAAGCGTATACATAAATGTGCAGTTTACCCATTACCTGAAAAATATTAACTTGCTTGCATAACTATACGAACTAAGAATTGACCAAACTGTAATACGCCTCAACAGTTTGAATAAAAAAAACACTTGCCTCATCTAACATTACACAGAAACATTTGCATTAGCGACAGACTCGCTGGAGCCGACAATAATATAAATAGTTAAAGGATAGAATATATATGTATATGTTATTTATTATTATAAAATAAATAGTATTAAAATAACACACTAGTCAAAATAGTGCCATTCGGCATGCTGCCACTCGTTAAACATTCGAATACAACATTTGGCATAGTATTATTCGGTAAAAATTCAGCATAATACCACTCAGCAAAAATTCAGCATATGCCGAATTATAAAATAATATTTTATTTCTTGTAATAATTATAATAAAATAAAAATAAAATAAAATTTACAG